TATCATGCATGTTCCATGTGGATACCATGATTTGCAACTGCTGCTATCGTTTTTTTGGGACGACTCTGCAAAAAGTCCAGAAGCTGTATATAGCTGGATCTTTTGAATGCTCTAAACCAGGCATGTCAAACTCACGATGTCACGTGACGTCATGCGACGTATTGTAACTTTTTCCCCATTGCCGGCAATGGGGTGGGCGCGGTTTCAGCATGACGCATCCGGCTTGCGGACGGGCAGTTTGACATGCCTGCTCTAAACCATTATTTACTTTAGTTATAGTTTCCTGAGTACATTGTTTCCTTTCTGTGGATTCCATTGTGAGATTTTCTTAAAAATGTGGCATCTTTATATGTTTACATATTAGAGATAGAAAGCCTTGTGGGATGAGTAGATACATTTGGATTTTTTTAAAGCAAGTTTAAAAGCCATCATGAGGGTTTCATCCTATTCACAAAATAGCTGCCATGATGGATGCAGCTACTTATAAAAAAGTTTGTTAGAAGTCAGACTATCACTCAGTACTTGTTTTCTGGAGAATTATTCAATATTTTTAAAGAATGTCAGTGTGGGCAATGTAGGAAGTAGAAGAATGCTTGTACATAAAATGTTTAAAGTTGATGCTCTGATTTGCAGCCTACCAACTTCCCTTGTTTAATTAAAAAAAAAAGATAGAAAATTAAGGTCAGGCACAGCAGAAATCCCAATAACTACCAAGAGAGGTATTTGTGGGCAACCCAGAATTTGAGTTAATTGATTTTTAAACATACATATTCTGGCATTGTGCATATTACTTAGCTTGCATGCTTGATCCAAAGTAACTCAGGAAACACTTTAAAATTCAGAATTCATTTTTTAAAATAAACAGCCTTATGTCATTTTATATTAAATAGTTCTCACTGGGTCCAGACTTGGTGCATTCAAAGGTATTGGTTCTACAGTGTTATAATTCTCAGTTTGCATAATCATTGGATACCAGACTGAGGAAGGCTGTCTGATAAGCATATATGAAGACTGAATATCATTAATAGCCAGAAGCAATGTTTTGAAAAGTTGTGATTTTCATTATGGATTTTAATGCTGCTGTAATAGTTGAATTAGTTTTAATGAAGTATTCTGATATATTTCCATAACTTTTAATGGAAAAATTTGTTTTTCCCTTTCTTAAAGGGTCTTATTTTCTCCCATTGTTATTAAAAACTATTAGTGGTGGTTCAAATGTTGCTACTACAGGTACTGTGCTATATATGCTATAATAGTATATAATATACTGCATAATAAAGTATAGGTACAAGTTCAAGTAAATGCAGTATAGTACTGTATAGTATAAACCATACAATAGATTATGCCCTGGTTTTATGAAAAAAACCAAAGGTCACATGAATTCATGACAAGCAGATTTTTTTACTTTCATAATAAATAATTTAAATATTTTTCATTGGAACAAATTTCTCTTTCTACATATCTATGAAATCTTTTTTTTTCTATGCAATTCAAAGAGTCAAATTTTTCCCTCAAGATGAACTGGACATTTAGATTTAGAGGAGAAAAGAGACTAGTGGATTTTCTTTTGTTTGAGATGCTGTATATGTTAGAAAACGGAGATTTTGATTTGAAGAACTGAACTGAGGTATCAAGAGCATATATATCAGACCTGGGCATTTTCCAGCCCTTCAGCTGCCCTTGTCTGGCCTGTGGCATCTTCCATGGGCAGGGGGTGGTGAGGGATATGAGGTTATAGAGAGCAGTGGTAGTGGCCCTCCACCACAGTCCCAGTTTTTCATGTGACCGCGTGGGAAATTTAATTGCCCACCTTTGATATGTATAATTCTCACACAACTTTCTTCCTACAGGTTTTTTTTTTTTTTTTTTGAGTGGTGGAGATGGTGATGCAGGTTTTCAGAAGTTGTATGCACTGTGAATATGACAATGGTAAAAATCTGTTTATGACAGAATAGTAGTCTTTGAAACTAGGTTTAAAAAAAATCTTAAATAGAGATTGAGTTGTTTTCTCAGTTATCTTGAGCTGTTTGAATAATTACAAATGTTAGATTACAGCCACCCTTGTGTGGATTGGGCTCACAAAAGTTGTAGTCTTGAGGAATCTAAATATAGTATTAGCTTTTGATGTTGCTGATCAAGAATGGATATTTCCCTAATTCCTATTTTATGGCTTTTGTTGTTCAGCAGAATTTCTTAATATTGTTAAGATTTTGGAAGCAAATGAGAAAAAAATGAAGTTTCCTTCTTCCCACATTTCTTTATGGGTAACATTTTCTCACAGTGGCTACAACTTGCTATTACGGACAACAACAATTTAAAGTACATGTAGTCCTCAACTTACAAACACAATTGAGCCCAAAATTTATGTCACTAAGTGAGAAATATGTTAAGTGAGTTTTGCTCTATTTTATAACTTTTCTTGCCACATTTATTAAGTTAATCACTGCAGTCGTTAAATTAGTAAATTAGTTATTAAGTGAATCTGATTTTCCCATTGACTTTGCTTATCAGAAGGTTGCAAAAGGTGATCACATGACACTGGGACAGTGCAACCGTCATAAATGTGAGTTGTCAAGCATCTGAATGTAAATCACATGACCATGGGGATGCTGCAGTGGTCATAAGTGTGAAAAATGGTCATAAGTCACTTTTTTCAATGCCATTATAACTTTGAATCATCACTAAGTGAACTATTATAAGTTGAGGACTACCTATATAGCTGTAGATTCCCCAAACCCACAACTTTCAAAAATAAGAATTCTCCTTATTGTATAAGTCATATTTCTCTATTTCTTTTCATCTATATTTTTAAAGTTTAATTCACAACAATACATTGAGTATTAAAATGCCATTCCATTGGTGTGTGTAAGGATGGAGCCAGTATTATAATTCTTTAATGTGTTGGAATTGGGTCTGGAAATAAACAAGAATAGGTTTCTCTAGCTACAAAATGTTGCCTGCCTTTCATAACAGCCAGTACTGCATACAAACAATACCGTACTTTTTTCAACTGAGAATTACCATTGTTTTGTTTCTGGCTACGTCAGTCAAAGCTCATTGGGATCAAAAACTAAGTTTTCTTTCAGAGAATTTTTTTTTATCTACTTACCTTGCCAACATTCATGATCTTAATAATACTGTAAGTTACGCTAGGGGCTTAAGAATGATTTAACTGGAATACAGGAATTGTTAAAGGAAGAACACGGTCTTTTATGTATTCTTACAAGATCAGATTTTAAATTATGGCACCTTGCAGCTTTTGAGCTTGAGTTAAATTTAAAATTAGTTTAAGACAACTTTTTTCATCCTCTTGCCCTCTAAATATGCTAGTTTACAGTTCCAATCACTGTCTCTGCTTTGTGCCCAGCAATATAATGATTTATAATTCTAATTTAAGTAGCATCGGATTGCAGAATATTGAATTTATAGATTCCACTACTACAAGATTTTTATGACAATCACTGTCTGAATTTATAAATGATGCAGCTGCTTTTTTTTTAAAATGGCTTATATAGTTAAGAGACTCTACTTAAGCTTAAGTAGAGTCTCCTAAATATATAAAATTATCGTTGACATTTGTATAGTAAGAAGCATAATAATTTGATGAAGATTAACATTTTTACATCAGTAAGCTCTAAAAGCATATGGTCACTAGATGATAAATATTGGAGTAGATGGATTACCTTTAAGGCAATTCTTATTTTATGCTTCAGTGTATTCATGTGTTTATGTTTTAAACTTTGAAAATGTGGTAGTAAAATGGTTAGAAGCATTTTCCAAAGAAAAGATGCAGACATCATGTTTTTAAAAAGAATAGTTATTTTGAACACTGGGAATAGTGGATAGTGTTGAATTGGAAGTATTTATCACAAACTACTAAATAAGACTAGCCCCTTAATCTCATTGATGGTCCTTGGGTTGAGAGTTATAGTATTCCACAGCATTTCCCTGGAAGTTAAGATTTTCATAACAACTTATGAATTGAGGAGAGGGATGTTTACCGTGAGTAGAATCGGTGGGTGGGTGGGTGTCTTTGAAGGTTCCATTAGCTGTTCCATTAGCTATTGCTAGGTTATTCAGGAGGTACAGAGTTTATCAGAAGCCATGGTAGCGCATTGGTTAGAATGCAGTATTGTAGAATAACTCTGTTCACTGCCAGGAGTTCGATCCTGACCGGCTCAAGGTTGACTCAGCCTTCCATCCTTCCAAGGTCGGTAAAATGAGGATCCAGATCATTGGGGGCAATTTTCAGACTCCATAAACTGCTTAGAGAGGGCTGTAAAACACTATGAAGTGATATGTAAGTCTAAGTCTTATTGGTATTAACTCTATTGTTTACGTGGCTATATTTATACCCGTCCCCTCTTTAAAATAATACTTAAATTGGATTATGTTTCTTTTCTGTTTCCATCCCTATTTAGTATTCTCTTCTGTTCCTCATTGCCATCCAGTTTCTTTCCCTCTTCCTCCATGCAACTACCCTATCTCCTGAAAAACATCACTGTCCTTTGTATTTCATCTTTTTTGTTGCATCTGTTGGAAGAAGAAAGGTATATTTTGGTGTTTGTGTCTGTAATAATGATTTGTATGTATGTGAAAGAAAGGTTGATATATACCAATGAGTGATGTATACTATGCATTGAGTGTCTTATTTTACAATTAATTTTAATTAATAGGTTAATACAAACATTTTGGCTCTTCCTTAGAAAATCATTATGGCAAATGTAAATGTTTATGTGGTGTGCACTTGGCACACATGGACATATCTCTATCATACGCTCATTTGTTGAAAGGGGAAATTTCCAAGATTGTTTTAATTGAAGTTGGCAATCCTGGGTTGACAAGGTAGAGAAGTGGGACAGGACATTTCGTGTAGGCTGTCTATATGGTTCTATATGTATATCTCTTTTTATGGATTTTTTGTTAATTTGTATATCACTTAGAGTCCAATGGAATTGGAAGTTTCGAAGGAAGGAAAGAAGGAAGGAAGGAAGGAAGGAAGGAAGGAAGGAAGGAAGGAAGGAAGGAAGGAAGGAAGGAAGGAAGGAATACACACACATGCATATACATATACATATGCATACATTAAAATAAATATACTTCAATATGTACAGAAAAATTCTAGGCTAATTTGCATGACCCCAAGCTATTCATAAAGTACTTGGAATTGCATTATAATGCTAATTTGGGAGTAGTGTGCTCAACATAGAACTAACCAGTCTCATATTCATATAGAACTCATATAATAGTTATTTATTTTAATTTTGAGATTAAGGAATTGTTAATCATATTACAAGAAATATTCAGTTATGCCCTATTGTTTTTTTAACTACTATATCTGGCATGTCAAACTGCCGGCAATGGGGGGGAAAGTCCCAATACGTTGCGCAACGTCATGTGATGTCATGAGTTTGACATGCCTGCACTATATGAATATACTAGTTGCCATGATGAAACAAGTGCCATTGAAAACAGAAGAGAAACATACTTCAATCCTTGGATGACAGAGATTCCACCCGGCCCAAGAAGCACCAGCAATCCTGATGAGCATTGGTCCATTACTTTCCCATCTCCCAAGGTTTTTCCTACATTATACTTGTTTCACGTTAGCTGTTTATAATCATCTCCTAATTATAGCTGCCCATTTGGCCAGCACGTTCTATATATTAGGTTTTCAAGTTCTTTGAAAAATACACTTTGGAACAAAATAGCTGTGTGTTCGTACACATGTGGAGACAGATAGAAGAACCTTCTGAAGTATCCATGTGAATTGGGGAGACTCTATGGCTGCTTTAGTGTGTAAAAAAAGGGGTGCTAACATATACATTCCCATGTGATTCAAAGTACTTATCTTAAAGGAGTTGTCCAATTGTACTCTATAATATAATCAACCCCTATGTAATGAATTCAGGGAGAACAAAATCTCTGCCTGGACATACTCCTTACCTAATTCATAATTCTATTGCATCTGAAGTAGTTGCACAAGGCATATAAATTTATGTTGCATTATGATATATTTGTCACATTCATCTGTCGTGATGCTGCTTGTATTTTATAGGATTGACAGTTGCTTCCAGACAGAGAATAGACACACAGTATTCTGCATCTCAAGTAGATTTTGGCAAGAACACAATAAATAGATGTCATCAAATCCTTCCTTTTCTGTTAGTTAGGGAAAGTATTTGTCTTCTTAAAAATGCTGGAAATTAGCATTTAGCATTTCTCCCCAGCCTCAGATTGAAATTGGGATTTAGTAAAAGCAGGATTTTCCAAGTAATAAACCAACACAGGGTAATAGCTATTCTAAGAATCATCAATTTTCTAAAGGAATAAGAAAAAGTTAGCTTAGGACTATGCTAAGTTAATTTTTTTCCCCTGTGTTACTTAAGCAAACTGGCATTATTTTGTGATCTATCAAAAAAAGATACCACATTTTCATGTATAGGTAGTCTTCCACTTATGATCATAATGCAACCTGCCCATTGTGATCTTAGTCATGAGGGTCGTAAAGCAAGTTATCAGGTGACTGACTCAATTTTACAACCTCTTTTTTCCCAGTGATTGTTAAGCAAATCAGCATGGTTAAAGAAATAAAGGCAGGGTAAAAATAAAACAAATACATCCGGGATCATTAAGCAAACCCATTGTAGGCTATGGGGTGTTTTTTTTAGTAGAAAATGGAAGTAAATGCCAGGTTTTGGCAAAAATGTCATAAATCACAATCATGTGACTATGGGACACTGCACCTCAGTGTATAGTCATGTTGGCTACATAACCATAGAAATGTCTTCAGACAATGTTGTCTCCCTCAGCTAGGAAACGGAGATGAGCCCCCTACAGTAGAGTCAGAAACAACTGGACAGCGGAAACCTTCATCTTTATACTACCATTAGGATGAGGGTGGTAGCAATAATTAACAAACACCTACATGAAGGCAAGAAGGCAGGGCAGGATGTGTAGATCCAGAGGTTTTCTAAGAAAAGAAAATTGAAAGCTATGTGTTGAGCCTTGTTGCTACAGCATCAATTGACAGCATTCACATTATGACATAAATGACATAATCATCACAAATAATAACAACAACAATAACAATAATAAAAACAACTTTATTGTCACTTTGAATGTACATCAATTGGCATACATCAAAATGAAATTTCATTGCATACAGCTCCCAAAGGGCCACCACCTCCGATATACACTCTTTGTTCGTGGCCAGCTCAAGTTTCAGAACATCCATGATAATGTACCTTCAGAGTTAATGGACATTAGGGAGTAACCCACAATTCCTCCCCCCAAATGATCTGCCATACTGAGGTTTTACTGTACTGATTTGCATTAGACTTGTAATAATCAGGGATAACAAGAACAGAATTGAATCATACATGATTCTAGCCGCATGATGTTTGGATATATATGTTAGTTTTGTGTGGATGGGAAAGATGTAGCCCCACATAAGTGTAGCTGGAATAAATATATTTAACCATTACTTGTTCTCTGGGTGCTGATTTTCAGATTGTAATTTTGGGAGACACTTTTTTTCCCTTCTCTGTGTTGTGCTGTAATAGAACTGTAATCTCTGAGAATACCTGTGAACTTGGTATATTATATTATACTTTGTACAAGGATCTGTATTTCAGTTGGAATGGACTTGGAAAAAAATACTTTTTAATGGTTAGGCTCTTGAATTTACTTATTCCGCTCATAGTCAGAGATTGACTTTCTCAGATAATCTGCCTTACAGGATTTTTGTGAAGAAGAGAAACTTGGTATGACATTCTGAAGTCGTTGGAAGATATTTTGCTAAAATACAGTTCCATCTTTTAAGATGATGTTTTTCTAGTCTTTGTTTCCAGAGAAAAGTGAGAGAAAGTGTGTGGGCAATGAATTATGTCTCAAAAGCCAGCAGGATGGTTAAAATAAGAATTCTAGTGATCTGTTCTCAAGATTCTCACCGAAGTAGCATAAATTATGCAAAATAAAAGAATAGAAGTGACAACAGAACTCAGAAGATTGTGTACCATTTATTTTGCATAGATTTAAATGACAAGTGCCAGCTTTTTGCTGGAGGAATATAATAACTAAATAACTAAAAATAAAACTTAAACAGTGTATTAAAAATTAAAGCCACAATTTTTATTTTTATTATAAATCAAGTGTGCTTTAAATAAAGGAAGCATTTTTAAATTTATTCTTTTATTGCTTTTAAAATAATGACAGAGTGATAGAAAAAAACCACAAGGATAAAAATACATGCATTGTCAAAGAAAAGAAAAAAGGAAAAAAAAGACATAGTAAGTGTAACAAAGGAAGAAAAAAATGGTATAATATATCATTTTAGTTATATATAGTTATAATTCTACATACGGTTTCTATATTTCTAATGTATTTATATAATCATATTTTAACCTGAGTTTTGTATAAATGGGTCCTGTATTTCGTATTTGTTCATGCAAAATCTGCATCTATAGGCAATCCACTCATAGGTCTTTAATCTATTGAGTGAAAGGGGGCATACAATTATCTTTCCCATGCAGCAATCTTTTGGCCATGGTAAAGGCATGGAGAATCCATTTATATTGTCCAGTTGTCAGATTCCAAGTACTAGGAATGTAGTTCAAAAGAATATTATTGCCTGAAAATTTTAGCTTCTCCAGCATGATTAAGAAGAATCCACCAATGGGTTATCTTAGTCCTACTGCCCAATCAGACCAAGTTGTCAAGTTGTCACGCCTCCTCATTATCTGGGGACCTCCCAGTTTTCTTCTTGGTCTTCGCCCATTACAGACGTGATTTCTTGACTCTACGTTGGAGCAGGTCTGATAGAAAATTTACTCATTGGTGGATTCTTTAAAAGAGTTTAGCAGCTTAGTTGAGAGTTTTGTTTTCCCCTCTGTAAGGATTTGCTGCATTCCCCTCCTCAGGGTTAGGTTAAAACTTTATAAGGAAAGGGGGGGTGGGTTTTTCACTTCCCCAGATTCAGTATCCTGCTGAATCAGCAAACAAACCTCACCCTACACAGTGGGGGGGGGGAGGTTTAACCTATTGCATTTCAAAAGTGTTGTTAAAAACAAAACAAAAAAAACCCCTCAGTTTCACGTGCGGTTCCTTTCCTTGCTGCTTTCAGTTTTGCAGCCTCTGCTGCTTTCAGTTTTGCAGCCTCGTGGCTTCTCCCTAGCCGGGCTCGGCTAGGGACTCTTAGCAGCAGCCATTTGAATTTCAAAAGGCCTAATCTCACTTCTAAACACCTTTTTTACTGCTGCAACAAAGGAAAGCCCAACGGTGGCCTTACAATCACCTAAAGCCACTGTGGAAGCATTAGGAGCCTCGTGGGGCAGCAGTAAAGCTTTTTGCACCTAATGGCTGTTAGGCACAAACCCCTGCTTCTCGGGCCAAAGCAGATTCCAATTAGCCTCGTTCGTGGCAGTCACTGGCCCTTTGCACTGCAGCATTAATCCCTCGCCATTTTGAATTAAAAATAATAATAATAAAAAAAATAAAAAATAATAAATTTAAATAAATAAATAAATAAATAATAAGTAAATAAATCTAAATTGAATGCAATAACGGGGGTGAACTACAAATGTTAATTGTATTAAACTAGATTGATTAACAAAATTGCTGGCTCCTTCATCTGAGTCTCAGTTTCAGCCATCTCCTGATCCATGCACCTGTGAGCAAGAGTGTGGTACTAACAGCAGCTCTGGTTCTTCAGCCTGGTCGCCATATTGCCTGTCTGCCCTTCTGCATCTGGTGGCTGTTCCAGCATCCTGACCATCGCCACTACTGTGGGACACGTGTGATTCTTCTCCACGTAGGTCAGTCCCCCGCGGGGGCCTCTGACGTCCCTTGCAGAACGAATCAGGCCAAAGGCAACCTTGGGTTGATTTCGATGGAAATGGCAGACCCTTCTGAGCCATGTTCCTTGGACATGGACGTCATTCCCGCCTCAACTGAGCCGACACCCGAGCCTCCATCAGGTAAGGCGAGGTCCAAGTCTAAGCACGGCAGGAAAGCTGGCACGGCGAGCGACAAACTGGCTGAACGCACCCACAGAGCTCTGGAGAAGCAATTCTCCCGGGCCCAACGCTTGTCTGCTGAAGGAGGTCTCACATTGCCAACCTCCGTACCACTGGACAGGGGAGAGCCTCAACCATCCACATCCAGAGTATGGTCGCCGGAGACGGGGTATCAATCAACAGGTCCCAACTCGGACTCTTGGTCAGGTAGGCCCACCCGTGTTTGGGGAGAACTTTGCCTTGCCAGGTTCATCTGCAGCACCCACTGCTGCCAGCATACCACCTGCTGCGGGGTTAAGGCTTCCGCTAGAGCAGTCCGTCTCCGACCAGCTCCAAATGTGGATATCACAGGCAGTGTGCCAAGCCATGGCATCAGCGAGTCATCAACAAGCCCCCTCCGTTCCAGGACCATCCTCTTCTTCGGCACCAACAACTGCCGTGAGGCCTCCACTGGATCAGTCAGGTATGGTCTCTCCCTCCCAATCCCCTGATTCGGACCCAGATGTTTCAGATTACGGGGGAGGCAAGGATGGTTGGTTGGATTGCGAGGAACCATCTTACGAATCCCAACCCATGGCGGAGCTTTTTAATGCTTCGCTATTTCCGGCTTTGTTACGCAGAGCGTGCGAGGCAAGTAAGCTTTCCCCTCAGTCAGTACCAACCCCTCAGCCTTCCTCCGATCAGGAAACCAATCCTTTGTTTGCTGTGCCTGTAGACACGCACCTCCATATCCCTTGTCCACAGCTGTTCTTCCAAAACGTGCAGGATCAGTGGGAATCACCAGCAGCCCAGCAATCTCAAAACACGCCTGAGCGCAAAATGGTAGACATGCCTAAGGCATTCGGAGACCTACTAGAGGTCCCAAAAGTGGATGAATCGCTGGCACCGCTTTTCTCCACAGCCAGCCTTCCAGCTGATGTATCCGATGCCCTTAAGGCAGAGGATAAAAAATCTGAAATGGCCTTACGCAAAGCGCACTTGGCATCTGCCTGGGCTGTGAAGGCAGCGACGGCCACTTCCTTCTTTGCAAGAATCTCTATCACCTGGCTGCGTCAGCTGCAGGATAGAATCCCACTTGAGGAAACTAGAATGCATCAGGATCTAACAAAAATACTTGCCACATCCGAATATATGGCCGATGCCTCTCTGTATTCAGCCAAACATTCAGCCTGGGCTATGGCTTCCAACGTGGTAGCTAGGAGACTCCTGTGGCTAAAAAATTGGAGGGCCGAAAGTAAGCATAAGTGGCGTGCGGCCACAGCCCCTTTCAAAGGTGGCAAATTATTTGGGGATGCACTAACACCGTACTTAGTTGAAAATAAACAGAAGCAAAAGGTGATCTCCCACGTGGCAAAGAGGTCCACAAGACGGTTCACCCCTTACAGTTGCTGGCAGCCCTTTCGGGCAGGGACAGCAACAGAGTCGGCACAACCGTACCGACCGGTCGCTCCCAAACAGGAGCGTTCACTGGACAGGACAGGTTATAGAGACAGGTCCAGATACCAGCCACAACCCAAAAATTCCTTTCGTGGCCGAGGGGGTCGGTCCTTCCGCCGAGGCAAATGACTCGGAGGGAAATCCCCCCATTGGCGGCAGGCTCACTCACTTTACTCGCCAGTGGGAAAACACGACCACAGACTCCTGGGTGTTGCGTACCATAAGGGAAGGCCTGTCCCTGGAGTTCAAATCCGTTCCTTTCAATCTCTTTGTGTCTTGCCCAGCCATGAGAAACCCAGTAAAGAGGGGACTCATGGAGGACTCTATACAGCATCTTCTAGCCATCAAGGCGATAGAGAAGGTTCCCCCAAGCCAGGCAGGGCAGGGATATTACTCAATCCTATTTGTAGTCCCAAAGTCTTCGGGGGGATGGAGGGCAATCCTCGATCTCAAGGGATTGAATCTTCACCTTCATTACAAACGGTTCAAAATGCAAACATTGCACTCCATCCTAACCAGTATCAGGCGGGGAGATTTATTAACATCCATAGTTCTGAAGGAGGCATATCTCCACATCCCTATTCTCCCAGCTCATCGCAGGTACTTAAGATTCTGCTATCTCAACCATTTTCAGTACAGAGCCCTTCCTTTCGGCCTCTCTTCAGCCCCCAAGGTCTTCACCAAAATCCTGGCAGTGTTGGCGGCTCACTTGCGGCTGGTCCCAGTCAGGGTCCAGTGCTACCTGGACGATATCCTGATCCAGTCCCCGTCAGTCTCAGCCGCCCATTCGGATTTGACCCTTACTATACAGACTCTTCAGGCCCACGGCTTCCTGATCAACTTCAAAAAGAGCCAGATGAATCCATCTACCCGTTTGCTTCACCTGGGAGCAGTAATAGACACGGAATCATGTCATGTGTACCTGTCAGAGGAGAGACGCAGGAGCATCAGGGACTTGGCTCGCAAGGTACGCAGGGACAGAACCGTGGCATTAGCCACGCTTTCTCAGCTCCTGGGCAAACAGATCTCATGTATAGCAATCGTGCCGTGGGCTCGGCTACATACCCGTGAGCTTCAGTGGTTTCTTCTCCCATACCAAAGACAGCATACCAGTACGTCCAACAGACGGGTTCGGGTTCCCTGTCAAGTATGGTTTTCCCTTGGCTGGTGGACTTCATCAGCCGTCAGCAAAGGGACCCTGTTCAAAGAACCCAACCGCCTTCAGGTGACCACGGATGCCAGTCTCTTCGGCTGGGGGGCTCACCTCCAATCCCGGATAACTCAGGGTCGGTGGTCGCAAGCAGATCTCAAACACAACATAAATTGGTTGGAGCTCAGAGCGATTTATCTAGCTCTTCAAAAATTCCACACAGAAGTCAGGGGCCAGCATGTACTGATTCAAACAGACAACGTGGCTGCAAAGGCCCACGTGAACTGGCAGGGGGGCACATGGTCAAAATCCCTCATGACAGAAGCCCGAGCATTGGGCACCTGGGCAGAGAAACACCTGCTCTCCATCAGAGCCGAACACATTTCAGGGGAGGCAAATCGACAGGCAGATTTCCTCAGCAGGTCGACAATAGATCATTCGGAGTGGATGCTTCATCCAGATATCTTCAGGGAGATATCAGCCAAATTCGGCAGTCCGATCATGGACCTGTTTGCCTCCCCAGAGAACGCTCAGCTTCCCAGATTCCTTTCCCGGTTCCCTTCTTGGGGAGCAGAGGGAATGGATGCGCTTCGCAGCAGGTGGCCACAAGGCCTATTGTATGCCTTCCCCCCATTGCCTCTACTTCCTGCAGCAATCAGGAAGCTCCTGGAGGAACAAGCGGAGGTGATCGTCATCGCCCCTTACTGGCCCAGGAGACCATGGTTCGCAGATCTGGTGAGTCTTTCATTTTCAGCTCCATGGAGGATTCCCGACAGCCAAATAAGGCTGATACAGGGAGATCTACAACATCCAGATCCATAATGGCTTCAACTGACCGCCTGGCACTTGAACGCCGCGCCCTAACCAGGGAATCTTACTCAGCGGAGGTGATTGCTATGATACAGGAGGCCAGGAGACCGGCAACGAACCGGCTTTATGACCATACATGGAAGCATTTCAGTCAATGGTGTGATAAGAAACACGTAAGTCTATCACAGGTGACGATTCCCAGGATCCTGGAATATTTAATGGAGGGCGTCAACAAGGGGTTGGCACCCAACACTTTGCGCAGACAGTTAGCAGCCCTGTCCTCAATTTTGTCATGGGACTCCTCGAGCTCCTTATCAAGACATCCAGCCATTCGGGCTTTTCGTAAAGGGGTCTCGAATACCAGACCGCCTGTTATTCACAGGTATCCCCCCTGGAACCTACCCTGAGTGCTTCAAGCTCTAACATCTTCTCCTTTTGAACCACTCAAAATGTGCTCATTACGACATTTGTCATTCAAGGTCTCCTTTCTCATTGCCATTACCTCGGCCAGGCACATTTCAGAGTTAGCGGCCTTGTCGGTTAGAAAAGACCTATGCACATTCCACGAGGATAGGGTAGTTCTCAGGCTTGACCCTTCATTTATTCCAAATGTTAACATGGTTTTCCATAGGGCACAGGAGGTTATCCTCCCAAATTTTTGCCCTCACCCGTCACATGAATTGGAACAACGCTGGCACACTTTGGACGTAAGGAGGGCCTTGCGATGTTATATCAAGCGCACTAAGCCCTTCCGTAAGTCAGAAACCCTATTTGTGTCCTTTCAGCCTTCGTCTATGGGGCAAAAGGTTTCAGCTTCCACCATAGGGAGGTGGATAAGGGCCTGTATTTCAAGCGCTTATGTTTCCCTGGCCTTACCAGTTCCTCCTCATGTGACGGCTCACTCTACCCGCAGTGCTGCTACAACTGCGGCGTGGGCAACACAGGCGTCCATTGAGGACATATGCAGGGCGGCGACACGGTCGTCGCCATCTCCATTCATTAGACATTACCGTTTTGACAAGTTTGCTTCGGCTGAGGCCGCCTTTGGTAGACGTATCCTACAACAAGTAGTCACACCATCTGGGGGCCCGGCCCCTACTGACTCCCACCCTTAGGGACTCGAGAAGCTTTGGTACGTCCCATTGGTGGATTCTTCTTAATCATGCTGGAGAAGGAGCGTTGGCTTACCTGAACGCCTTTTCTCAGCATGATGAAGAAGAATCCACGCCCTCCCTAAGTAGAAGTCAGTCAGGTCCGGGTGGGATGGTTGTTCTGTTAGTTGTCGTTACTACCTGCTTGAGAGTCATCACGTCGTACTGTTGTCAATGGCTTCACCCGTCGATGAAAACTGGGAGGTCCCCAGATAATGAGGAGGCGTGACAACTTGACAACTTGGTCTGATTGGGCAGTAGGACTAAGATAACCCATTGGTGGATTCTTCTTCATCATGCTGAGAAAAGGTGTTCAGGTAAGCCTACGCTCCTTTTGTCATAAAATTATATTTTTAGAATCCAATATTTTCTCCAAATAGCTGTAAAAACATGTTTTGCAGAAGCATTATCGTTGTTATATCTCCCAACAAAACCCTGTTTTGTGGTGTCCTTTTCTATATAAATGTAATAGAATCCAATATAATCTATGTATTATTTTTTGTTGCATACAATGTAATTTGAGGTCCATTGATACTCTTGCTATAAAAGTTAAAACACTCTCCCATTGTTGAGGCAATATAGGAACCCGTCGTTCTTTATTCCATTCATTTCTTAACATCTCCATATCAGATTGATTTACTAATCACAAATCTCTGTAGAAACTAATGGTGGGTTTTTCAGCTTTAAAGGGTTTAAAAAGTTGTTCTGTATCTCAGATATAAATGAAAGGAGTATTCTGACAGATACATCATTCATACTAATGATTTTTCTAATGTTACAGTTGTGGATTCCTATACTTAGCCTTCCAACATATGAGAGTTTCTCTATTTATTCATATACCTTGCAGTACACATTTGTTTCTAGGTATTCCTAAAATGAATTTAAGATAGCTTTTCATGCTGCAAAGAATGGTGTCATTGCTTTCTTTTTATTGATGTGGTAGAAGCCATATGCTGTGTGCTGTTTAAAGCCAAGTTCAAATTCAGAGAGAATTGAATAGATAATGTATTAGCCTTTTTTATTGTATCTGAAGTGTATTTTCTAGTACCTTAATAGAAATAGAAGTGCAATTTTTTGCTTAGCTGTGAACATTTTTGAGATAGGTTGGAACTATAAACTCTAGGTTTTCTAACCAGCAAAATAGAAAACACGATTTTTTTTTAATCTTTTGCTACTACATCTAATTTAAAATCTCACAAACTCTTTGGATGTTTTAGGCTTTTTTTAAAAAAAAATCTTTGTACTAACATAATTTATCTCTCCACATTTTTATGTATGTCCTACCATCACCACTGTGTTGGAAATGAGTTATTCAATAATATAAACAAAGACAGGTTCAATTGTGAGAAAACAATAGAAGGAAGAATTTGGTGTCATTTCGGAGACATGATAGGTTTTAGCAGTTAAGATTGAAATGATGAACACAATTTTTTGAACACATTTTGAGTTTTGCAGTAGAACTTACACAATTATAGACACTTTGCATCACTCTGTTTTAGGGGCAAATATTGGTATTAGATGAATGGCTTCCAGATGGTCTGATAATCACATCCAACAACAAAACAAAGACAACTATTTGACTACATATTGTTTTAGTGAGAGATTTGCTGTGTTGTCACTTTTTACAGATTTACAGTCTATAACACTATTCTTTCTCTTCATTTTTCATTATCTAATACTTAATAAACATTGTCAATAGACCTATTTCTTTTGCCAAACTTATAGAATGTAAACAGTTTTACTGGATTAGTAGAATTTGGCAGTAACTAACTGTTGGACCAGTTGCTTTTGTAACTCTTTAATAGATAGTATAATCATATAAATGACATACATTTGGCATCTACCTTTTTTCAATGAACCTGGCTTGGAAATATCTTGTATAATTATGGCCTAGGAATTTGGTTTGAGCTAACCCTAAAATTATCCCTCCCAAGAAAAGACAAAGAGCACATATTATATACTGTAAGGTGAGCAATATATGAGAAAATTTGCTGCATTTGGTCTGCATACATCTCTGCCCACTGAGGTATTCATTAATCAGTGCTACTCCTTCAAATGCTGTGTCTCTTTGATTGATTAACAATATGAGCCATGATCAGCTTTCATGGCTACAAACTCTTCCCGCCCCTCCTTGCCAAATTATGTCTGATTTAGTCATTCACACAATATTTGGAAGGGAAGTCTGGTTATTAGTTTCTGTAGACTAGTAATATATGTCCAGCATCTTGGATTCAATGCATCTATGCCCCTCAATTTTGTACATTAAAATTCTACCCAGATTGCCTTGGAAGTCTTTTGAGGAGGGTGGGCAGTCTGTCTAGACTGTTCTCAATAAAGCTCTCCACCTGGGTTAAATGATGCCACTAACAACAGAATTCACTTGGCACAGCTAATGCATACAGGATTATGTATGATAATGCCTTCTTGGATTAATCTGATGCCCACTGAATCCATCTAGTACAATGCTCTTTCTCAATAGCCGTCCGCCAAATGAAATACCTCTGGGAACTTATAAATTGGGTATAAAGAAGATAATCTGCCCTTGTTTGGATACACAGATGTTTACTGCTTCTGAAAAGAGATTGTAATCAGTTGTCGTGGACTTTAATCATTTGACTTTTGAAGTGAGAAGGCACATCTGGATGGATGAAATGGGATAATCTGAGGCTTCTCAAGGCCAGTGGCTGAACTTAGTGTTTTGATGAAAATGTATTTTGTTCTGCTAGAACAGGGGTGTCAAACAGGGGTGTCATGTGATGTGTCGTGACGTATTGCAACTTTTCCCCCATTGCCAGCAATGGAGTAGGCGCGGTTTTGGCATCCAGCCCGCTGGCCGGCAGTTTGATACCCTTGTACTAGAATGTGAGTAAAAAGCTTATTACACCTTCCTTATAAGAAAGGCAGCTATAAAACTAGGAGAATGGAAAGAAGAAAAAATAAGGAAAGGCATTAATAAATATACTGTATACTGCCTTCCAAGAAAAAAGACATTGGTTGCCTTTGGGTTAGCTGAAGAGATATTCTGTAATAAAAGAAATTTTGCAAGTGTATCTCTTCAAGAGAAACAGTTTACATCATCTACAGTGATGCTTAAAAGTTTCCACATAAGTTCTAAAACTAGATAAAGGGAACCCAATTAAACAAATGAGTCAAAAACATTGTTCATTGATATATTGGTAACAGTTATTCAAAGCTATGCCTTAAATAACAAATATGTAAATCTTTGTTTTAAATAACTTGGACAGCAATAACTGCAGCTAATCATCTCTGACAACTGTTGATCAATCTTGCATATTGGCTTGGAGAAAATTGAACCCACTCCTCCTTGCAGAACAGGAGGATGTTGGTGGGCTTCATCTCATAAACAGCCCACTTTAGATCCTTCCACTATATTTCTCTGAGATTAAGGTCAGAACTTTAACTTGGTCATTCCAAAACCTTAACTTTCTTCTGTTTTAACCATTCTTCACCTGTATGATTTGTGTGTTTGGGGTTTAGGTTTATAGAAGGAATAGGGTTCTTATGCTGCAGTGCAGTGTTTGGCTTTTGCCAAACATAACACTTTTCATTCAACCACCAAGTTTCATTTTAGTTTCATCCATTCGCAGAATATTCTTTCAATAACCTTCCGGTGTATTTTGTAAACTGTAGATAGACAGCAGTGGGTTTTTTGGTGAGTAATGGCTTTTTTCTTACAACCCTGCCATGCATACCATTCTTGTTCAATGTTCTCCTAATGGTGGTCTCATAAACACTGACATTTGCCAATGCAAGAAAGACACTTAGTTCTTTATAGGTTATCTTGGGTTGCTTTGAGACTTCCCAGAGTAGTACATACTTTGCTATTGTGGTGATCTTGGTTGATCAACCACTTCAGGGGAGGGTAACAGTGATGTTGAATTGCCTCCATTTATACATAATCTGCTTGACAGCAAACTGGTGGATTTCTTGGAAAGAATTTTGTAATCTTTTTCAGCTTGGTGAGCACCAACAACTGTTTTTTAAAGAACCACCCTTTATACAAACCATGACCCTCTTCCACATACCTATGTTGTGAAGATCATACTTTGATAGTGAATAGCCAGGATTTTGCTCTTTAAATAAAGCAGCACCGCCCACACTCACCTCTGATTAACATCTCTTTGAAACAAAATTATTTATTCAGAAATTTTGAAAATTCCAAAGAGTTCACACACTTTTAAGCAGCACCTTATTCATATAATTGTATTGATAAAGATTTTTGCTCTATGCACAGGTTAAAAAAAGGCAAAAATATCCAGAGTTCGAATCTAAAGATGTGTATTGTGTGATTATTAGTTTACAGTGGTAACTGCAAGATGTTAACATTGTATTATCTAAACCAGGGGAAGGCAACATTAGCTCTTTTATGACTTGTGGATTTCAACTTCCAGAATTCCTGAGCCAGCCATGTTGGCTCAGAAATTCTGGGAGTTGAAGTCCACGAGTCATAAAAAAGCCAAGGTTGCCTACCCCTGATCTAAACACTAAATAAGATTGAAACAAATTATCTTACATCTGTCTCTGGTTTCAGCTCAGATTATTACTGGTCACTTATTGTGGATTGAAAAGTGGAGTCTCCTTGCTTCTATTATTATTCTTGGCCAGCTGGATCATTTTGTCCCTATGCTAATATATATTTGGGGAGGGGCAATTGAAAGGTATGCAGATTTTCTTCCTGTTTCCCTCTCAACAGCAGAGAGAGATGTGAAGGGCTGAAGTAAATTCAATGCACATTGCTAGCAAAAGAGAGAAAATGAGTCAAACCAGAAGCTGCTCTTATTCAGTGCAGATGATTGTCACTTGTTTGCATACCTGGTTTTCTTAGGAGAAGAAGAAAAAGAATATTATCTTTTCTCTTCTGTCAAGTTCACTACCTGAAGAACATATATAGATTGTAAGCCTGTGGATGAATACAGAACTGGTTGATTCTTCAGATTATTTACAGAAGCTATATTGCTGGAGTTTAATGGAAATGGCTACCAAGAGTCTGCGTAACAGAGAGTTCCTGATTTAGTTATTTTCTCCTCTGTATGGCAATATGAGTTTCCTTGGTGAAATTTTAAATTAGATTAAAGTGTTTTTGTATAGCAAGAGGAGAAAAAGCAAAAATTATTGTATGATTTACTCAAAGTATATAAACTGGCTAGTGGAATATGGATTTTGTGTGTAAAATCAATGCTAATGGTAATAGTAACTTAAGTACCGATCAGGTTGCTTAAAATGGATCTATATGTAGTTTGACCACTTCTCCCCCCTTCCATACATAAAATGTCAAAGGTGAATCTTTTGGGGAGAA